TGCCTGTAATCCCAGCCATCAGGAGATTAAGACACTGCAGGTTCAAAGGTGGCTGGACTTCATTGCAAAATCCTCCCAACCATAACAAAACGGAAGCAGCAGCTACTAGAAGAGCGACTCTTAATTTAGTAAGAGCGTGTGCTGATGGCACCTGTACACAGGCTCATTCATGCATCCTTTGTAAGAAAGAACTGGGGGTGGGGAGCGGGAGGGCAAATGTTTTTAAAGAATCATGTGAGGTGGTTTTTCCCCTTCTCTGTTTTTCCTTTCTTCTCCTCCTTTTCAAGTTTTGTCTTCTTTTTTTCTACACACAGAATACATAACACACACATACCTTTTGACTGGAAATGACTATTAAAAAAAAAAACCCAGCTACAAATCATCAATCCTAAACACTACCTCCCTCTTTAAACACTTATTAGGGAAAAATCACTTCTTAGCTCTATGCTGTCTGTCATCTATAACATGAGAGGGGTGACTTCTTTACACCTTAATAGTTTACTTAAGTATTGCTCTGCCAGATATATTTGTTCCAAATCTGCTCTAAAGTAGAGACTGTGCACGTATTCTGTAGCCGTTTGCACAGTGTATAGACAATCCAATGCCAATTCCCCCATAACTAGGTGTCTTAGTTAGGGTTTCTATTGCCGTGAAGAGACACCATGACCAAGAAAACTATCATAAAGGAAAACATTTAATAGAGCCTGGCTTGGTTTCAGGGGTTTAGCCCATTATTACCAGGGTGGGCAGCCTGGCGGCGTGCAGGCAGACATGGTGCTGGAGAAGGAGCTGAGAGTTCTACATCTTGATCCGCAGGCCGCACAAGACGGTGTGCCACACTGGGTGTAGCTTCAGCATATGAGACCTCAAAGCTCACCGCCACAGTGACACGCTTCCTCCAACAAGGCCACCTCCTAAGAGTGCCACTCTCTATGGGCCAAGCATTCAAACACACGGTCTATGGGGGCCATTCCTGTTCAAACCATCAAAGCTTACTTACCCCACAGTTTGTCCCTGCCTTCAGTAGTGGCTCCTTCCAGCTAGCTGTCTTGCTCTGTATCTCTCTTGTCAAGGAGCAGATGTACTCCTCCAGGAAGGCCATCTCTAGCCTCCGCTCTCCCTGCCCTGCCCAACTTCCCCAACCCGTGTAACTTCTGCTGTGAAATCAGTTCAGTCTATCAAACTAATGACGTGCGTTTATCTCAGCTTGACAGTGGTTCTCGGCAAGACTCAACCACAGACACACTTTCTGTTCCCTTCCTGTTTCACTGGCTTCTTTTTCTGACTTCTCTCTTCTCGGCCTAAAAGGAAACGCTATAAAGCTGGCTCAAAACGACATGCCACTTGGCTTCTCCAGTTTCCGGACATTTTAAAACCTCTTACCTTGAGGGATACATAAAATATGCCAGTGGCAAACGTTGTAAGAAAATGCGGGCCTTCTGAGGAATGGATGGACCAGGCTAACAGGTCACCATTAAAAAGATTCAGCTCCTTTTGAAGGCATTTATTTTTTTTTCTGAAGTTCCTATAACCTTGCACATGGTTATAAGAGCTCCCTGGACCCCACACAAGTGACCTCAAGTGCCAGGGTCTGAGCTGGGGGAAATCCAGTGTGTGGAAGGTCACCTGACCTTGTCTCTTGCCCTTTGACCCTCTGACGGGTAAAGAAGATGTGACAGTGTTTTTGTTTTTTTTTATTCAGTTAAGGTTATGACATCACTTTCCTAATACCTAAACAACCTCAAAAAGTTAACACATTGTTATATCTCTCTAATACGCTTCCTGAAATACAGGGAAATTAAATGGCTAATTTATCTGTCCACAAAAAAACAGTATAACCAACACCACAGAAACAAACCTAACGTCTCCCTAGCCGTTCTTCTGCTCGGGTTTCTTCCTGGTTGTAAGGTACGACCCCCAAATGAGCTGTGCACCTTTCTTTTTTTTTTTAATTCAAAGATATTTCCACTTCATTAACACAATTCCTCATTTTCTACTTCTTTGTTAGTACCAAGGAGAAATTCCAGGCTTTAAGATTCAAATGACTTCTCCCAAAATCAGAGCTGGACTCTCTCCACTCAATGTGCCGATTTACATGAAATCTCTGAGAGTTTCTCTGCCTCCACAGAACGTGGGTGCCACTGCCCATCAGACCCACGTTTGCCTCTCTGCACAAACAGTCCAAAACAGTTTTCCTGATCTGTTTCAACCTGAAGTCTTGTCAATATATGGATTGTCTTGCTTTCTAATTCAGTGAAAAATCTAGTTTTCCATTAGTCTCTGCCTTTCTAATTTTCGATACAGCCTTACTAAATGTAATTATTAAAGGCAGATTCAAGAAAGCAATTACTGAGCTACTGGTTTGTATCTCTGAAGTCTTAATAAGTGGCAAAAAGTTGTAATTGCCCTGAGTATAAAATAAATTTTTCTATAGATCAGACATATACACCCTTGAGTTTGTACATGGAGAAACGTACTGGGAACAGCACAGAGCCTTAACCATATTTCAGTTCTATTCACAGGCGGTGCTGGGTGGTGCACAGTAGGAAACTACATTCCAGAAAGACCACACTGCTCTTTCTTCAGGACTCTGTGGCTTTGGTAAACACCTAGTTTCTCCAAAGCACCTTTTCCCTCCCATCTGAACATATGTCAGGAAATTAAATTAGACATTTAGTATGCACTCATCCAGCTCTCAAACTCTACGAACTCTTTACTAAATTCCTAATAAACACAGTGCCAGGCTCTGCATTAGACATAGGCTGAGTAATTCTAATCTATAGCTTTAAGAGACTTACAACTGAGTAAAAAAGGAAGCATAATTAACTATCAAGCAATATACTCTCCTAATAACATAAATCAAGACATATTTTTCAAAGCCTAAAGAATAATTCTTAATCCTGTAAGGAGGGATATTAGTTACTTTTCTGTTACTGTGATGAGATATCATGACCCAAGGTAACTTACAGAAAGAGAGGTAGGCCAGCAGGCAGACATGGGAGCTAAAACAGGAAGCTGAGAGAGCACACCTCAGAAGAGGAAGCTGCAAGTAGAAAGAGGCGACAGACGCTGCTAAAAGCCTGCCTCTAGTGACATCCCTTCGCAAGGCCACACCTCCTAAGCCTCCCCAAACAGTGCCACCAACCAGGAACCAAGTGTCCAAATGCCTGAGCCATGAGGGACATTTCCCATTCAAACCACCAATAGGGAGACAAGGTCTTTGAGACCAGCTCACTCACAGACTGAACTGTGTCACCCTCCCCCAGCCACAGGTGGAACCTCTCTCAATGTGGCTATATTAAGAGAGAGATCCTCTAAGGAGGTAGCTAATTATGGTTGAGTAAGGCAAAAAGGGCAGAGCCCTAATTCAGTACGACAGCTGACCTCATAGGAGAAAGAAGTAGTGTGTTGGCTTCTATACCAAGGAGGCTGAGGCAAGAGTATTATGAGTTTGAAAAGCCATTCACAATAATCACAAGTCTGAGGCTAGACTGAACTACACAGCAAGGCTGTCTCAAAGGAAGAGGCAGAAGAGGCATCAGATACCAAAGATGTAGCTTTTCCAGAGTACTAGGACCTTTCTGACCCTTAAAAGGATAATCTTCACTGCTCTCAACAATGCCTCTTGATTTATCAGCAACATTCCAAATAGAACCTACTGGCAGGCAAGATGGTTCAGGAGGTAACAGCACTTGCCGTAAATCCTGACGACCTGAGTTCAATCCCCAGGACCCATGTAAAGGGGGAGGAGAGAACTGACTCTACAAAGTTGTCCTCTGACCTTGATACACGTGCCTTAGCCCATGCATTCCCACACATGCAAATAAGCAAACACACACACACACACACACACACACACACACACACACACACACACACACACAAACAACAAATAATAAATAAATGCAATAACAATTTAAAGTAGCACCAGTCCTGTCTTTAGGATCATTTACTGAATACATGAATGTGGCTTTGTGATTTCTAGATTGCTGCTAATTAAATCTGAGAAGAATCCTCACCCCAACATCTAAAAACCTATGAAGAGCAAGCACATCACTACCACCAGGGCTGGGAGACATAGCCAAAAATCTGAAGCCATACCCAAGTGCGTTTCCTTCAAATCTTCTTTCTTAAATGTCCCAGAACCAAATATGAAGGCAGAAGGAGAAAGAGGAACAGACTAAGCAAGCAAACAGCACACTTACTCCTTTAATTCTTCGAAGAAGTTAAAAGCCTACATAGTGGGTTCCCAACCCATCACCCTATGAAGCTTTACTGTGCGCGGTGGCTGAAGCCATTTTCTAAGGAGGTCATTGCTGAACGAGGCAGAAGCCTGGCTGGGCCAGGATTCTTCTGCTCCCTGTGGCAATCAGGGGCAGGAGAGTCGATTATACTTCAGTAGAAGCCTTCTCTTCCATAGGAAATGAGGCTAGCAACTGAAGTTGCATGGATCCCAATAACAGAGCTAAGGCTGCCTGACAAATCTTCTGTACAGTATGGGACTGGGGCGGGGGGGAGTATGACAGAACATTCCATGCAAACAGATAAGCCTACACCCCAAATCACTCCCCAGATGAGGCGGTCCTGTCAGCTTCCAGACACACCACACGCAGTCTATGGATGGGTGAAGAGCCTGCTTCTTTACAGTGAGTCAGTAAGGGCAGAGGCATCAGTGAGGCCAGCAATAATGTACAGAGAATTTGAGGTATAGGGCTGTGATGTAGCCCAGCAGGAGGACCCAGCACTTACAACGCCCTAGGTTCAATTCCCAGCACCACACAGGGCCAATGGGGGCCCATGCACCTGTAGCCTCTCTATACACCATTGAAAGTGCCTAGAAAGTATGTGTGGGAACAGAGGAAATACTTTAAGCCAGTTTTATGGGAAAGTGGGGTGGGCATGAGAGAGAACATCCAAATCAGAGGTCTCCATGAAAAAGCTAGCAGTGATCCCTCCCACCTCCACCTTAACCAGGTGACAGCTGGGTAGGAGCCACCCACCTCAGAACCTTTATCCGCAACAGTTACATATTCCATAGCTGTCTTCTTCGGCTCAGTTGCTTGCTCACTCCCAGAAGCCCGTCTGCCCCTCACGCTCCCAGCTGTGCCTTGCAGCCGAGGAGGGAGTGCCTCTAACTTTGAACTCCTCTCCTTATTCTTATATCATTGACCCTGAAGTGAACAAGAAAAGAACTTCAAAAGAAACAGTGAAAACCAAAGACGAGGGGCTGTGCAAAAAGAAGTAGCCCGGGAGATGAACTTGGGTGGGGGAGGTCTCAAGACAATGGGAACAAAGCAAAGAACACCTAAAACCCCTGGGGAGGTGGGGGGAGGGCCTCAAAGAGTTCCGAAGGAACTTTCTATTAGATTATATTAAGTAACTTTCTCATCCTCAAAGTCAATCTGATCTCTGGTGATCTTAACTCCCCAACATTCTCTCTTTACAGCTCCTACTCCTTAAAATAGTAAATAGTGGCTTACTATTTCTAGACTAAACTGTCTCTCTTACTATTTCAATAATAAGCTTACTGTTTCTCGAATAAACTATCTCTCTGCCTTGAACCTATACGCTCTCCGGCCACCTGGCCTCAGTGCTGCATTCCTCGGTGAAACACATGCTCTTGAATGAATCACGCAACCACGCACTTCCTGGAAAAGAACCAGTGAAATTCAGTAGTCTCACTGTTTCCGGGCTGGGCAGGTGGCTCTGCCAGTACAGGACTTGCTTTGCAAGCACAAGAACCTGAGTTCAGTCACCAGAACCCACGGAAATATCAGGATGCTGGCACACACTTGTAAGGCAGGGGTGGAGACGGGCAGGCCTCCGGCGGGTGCATACCTAGCCCACTTGGCAAGCTCCAGGCTGGTGAGAAAGCCTATCTCAAAAAAATAAGGTGGGTATCATTCCTGAGGAGCATTGCCTGAGGTTGTTCTCTTGTGAGACACACACACACACACACACATACACACACACACACACACACACACACACACACATATACACACATACACACACACACATACACACACACACATATACACACACATACACACATATACACACATACACACACACACACATACACACACACACATACACACACACACATATACACACATACACACACACATACACACACACATACACACATATACACACATACACACACACACACATACACACACACACACATATACACACACATACACACATATACACACATACACACACACATATACACACACATACACACATATACACACATACACACACACACATATACACACACATACACACATATACACACACACACACACATACACACACATACACACATATACACACATACACACACACACATATACACACACACACACATACACACACACACACATATACACACACATACACACATATACACACATACACACACACACACATATACACACACACACACATATACACACACATACACACATACATATACACACACACATACATACATATACACACATACACACACACACACACATATACACACACATACACACATACATATACACACACATACATACACACACACATACACACACACACACACACACACACACACACTCTCTCTCTCTCTCTCTCTCGTTAAAATCCTGTCACTGTGACAAGACATTGCTGCCCTACCCTAAACCCTGGAGTCTAGGCTTCAGCATGTATTTAGTAAACAGCACTTTTTCTGGGCAAGGCTGGGCTGCCATGTAGAGATCTGCTCCAGCCTCCAAAGAAACAGGGAAGATGAACCCACTCCAAGTGTATGGTAGTGGCACTCGGAGATGGAAGGAAAAGTACCTAGTGCCTACACGTCATCTAAATGCGCAGGCCTAGTCATGAAGGACCACCCCAGATTCACACCACGCTGCACAGCCAGGTGAAGGCAACTGTCTTCTGAGTATTCACGTGCTTGGGTACCTATGCCTGGCATTTGTTTTATTTTTAAGATATATTTATTTACTCACTTACTTATTGAGACAGGATCTTGTTAAGTAGCCTAGATTGGCCTTGGATTGACAAGCCTCCAGCATCATCCTCCCACGTGCTGGAAGTATGTCGCCATGGCTGGCTGGACCTGGCATTTAAATTCTTTCAACACTGTTTTCTTTTTTATTTTTCTTTTTGGTTTTTTGAGACAGGGTTTCTCTGTGTAGCTTTGCACCTTTCCTGGAACTCACTTGGTAGCCCAGGCTGGCCTCAAACTCACAGAGATCCGCCTGCCTCTGCCTCCCGAGTGCTGGGATTAAAGGCGGGCGCCACCACTGTTAACGAGACTGAAAACTTGAGTTCGAGTCCTACCTTCTCATTTACTGGTTACATGACCTTCAACGTCACTGAAGGTCTTTAAGCGTCAGCTTTTCATCTGTTAGGGAAACAGTACACCTTCTCTGTGAAGATTTAAGTCGGTATTTATAAATCACAGACTATCACACCTAATACATATAGTAAGTACTCCAAAAATAGTCAGTTTTATATTTTTCATGAACTAAGTGTCTTTGAAATTCAGTCAATGACATTAAAATAATTTCAACTATCATTGATCAGGAGCTGGAGAGATGACTCAGTGGTTAAGAGAGCCCCTCTCTTGCAGAGGAGCCGGGTTTGGTTCCCAGCCCCTGAGTGGGGCTATTCACAACCATCTGTAACTCCAGCTTCAGGGGTTCTGCTGACCTCTTCTGGGCTCCATGGGCATGCATAACCCCCATACACATTCTCTCATTCTCTCATTCTCTCATTCTCTCATTCTCTCATTCTCTCTCTCTCTCTCTCTCTCTCTCTCTCTCTCTCTCGTACATGGCATACACTCATACACATAAACAAAAATAATTAATCTTTAAAATAAAATATCACTTAACCAAATATATGTGAATGCATTTTAAAAGTTTTGTGGGTTTTTTTTCCTTCCTGTATTCAGTGTGTGGGGTGGGATCTCTCTCTCTCTCTCTCTCTCTCTCTCTCTCACACACACACACACACACACACACACACACACACACACACACACATTCAGACACACACGTGGTAAGTCACAGGACGACTTACAGGAGACCAAGTTCACTCCTTTCCTCTTGTCGATCCCAGGAACTCAGGCCGGTAGGTTGAGCAGCAGGTACCTTTACCTGTTGAGTCAACTTTCAGGCCCCAAATGGTTTTTCTGTTCGCTTTTTTAATATTCATGCATTTATTCTCAGAATATACAAACTTACCTTCTTAAAGAACAGAAAAAAGAAATTTCACTCCATGATTTAAAGAGGGACACAGCCAGCTTACCCTGTCCCATATCTTTAAACAATGCCCTGGGGCAGGGACGCCTGGAGTGCACAGGATCCCATGGCACGGGGCGATGCAGAGTTCTAAAACCTCGGGATCTATTCTATACTCCAAGTGGAAAACAGTAACCAAAGTGACAGAGATGGCCACAGTCCTCACGGTGCCAGATCCCCCTGGGTAACTTCAGCAACAATGTCACTGTGACAGAGTTCCACCCACCTCTGGGCTGCTGGAGGTCCCATCAGGTGGCCAGGTGTTTGTTCTGTCTAGGGGATAATGCTAAACAGTCACTCCATAACCAGAACAGTCACCAAGCTGCATGGGGCAGCACTGAGCCAAACCCGTGGTAATCTGCTTGCCCTGCCTCCTACAGCATCTTCCTGGCCCTCAGCAGCCCTGCACGCAGGCCTTTGCCCTTGAAGAACTAAGGCTAGGGAGTCTGCCTGTTTGCTAAGCACCCTAGCACAAGACTGAGAACCTGGAAAAGAGCTATGAGGGTCTTAAAGAACAGGCCCCAGTGTCAAGGCACACCCTTAAACCCATGGAAGTGTCCTGTCAAGCAAGAGTGGTTTCTTCCCAGAGCTTCTTGGTGAGATGCATCACCAGTGCGGCCCGGCTTCCTTCTCAGGAAATCCGTGGAGTCTTTCTTGCCCCTGCTCCCTTTCTTCCAGGGTCTGCCTCCTCTCCATCAGGTCTCCATAGAAACATGGCTGCTCCTGCTCCCTTTCTTCCAGGGTCTGCCTCCTCTCCATCAGGTCTCCATAGAAACATGGCTGCCCCTGCTCCCTTTCTTCCAGGGTCGACCTCCTCTCCATTGGGTCTCCATAGAAACATGGCTGCCCCTGCTCCCTTTCTTCCAGGGTCTGCCTCCTTTCCATCGGGTCTCCATAGAAACATGGCTGCTCTGGTTTCTGCTGCTTCAGGTTGATGCACACAATGAAGTCTGAACCCCATCAACTGTATCTGGTGCTTTTTAAAAAAGTTTTTATTATTTTTAAGTGCACACACGTGTGCATGCAAGCGAGCGCTAGAGAATATGTATGTTTTCATAAGCTGTATACGAAGGCTGTGGAGGCCAAAGGCTAGAGCTACAGGTAGTGTGAACCCTTGGATGCAGGTGATGGATGCTGGGAACCTAACTCAGGTCCTCCCTAAGAGCAGTATGCTCTCTTAGCCACTGAAACATCTCTCCAGCAGCCTGACGTTCTTCTTCTTTTTTTAATAGGTGGTGTTGTGGAATATTCTTTTAACTGGGCAAAGATGTGTTACATTTGTTTATGCTGGGGAATATTACTTTAACTGTGTAAAGGTGTGTTTCTCTTGCTTATGCTGCATTTGTTTAACTATGTAAAGATGTGTTGTATTTGTCTCACCTTGCCTGCCTAAGGCACCTGATTGGTCTAATAAAAAGCTGAACAGCCAATAATAGCTCAGCAGGAGAAGGATACGCGGGGGCTGGTAGCCAGAGAAAATAAATAGGAGGAGAAAGCTAGGCTTGAGAGAAAAAGAGGAGGAATGAAAGAGAAGAGAATGAGGGACACGCCCAGGGCAAGAAGCCAGGCAGATGCCAGACAGACAGAGAAGCGGTGAAAGTAAGATATACAGAAGTAAGAAAGGTAATAAGCCCTGAGGCAAAAGGTAGATAAAGAGGAACAGGTTAATTTAACTTAAGAGAGCTAAGCAGAAATGTGCCAAAGCTAGGCCGGACTTATTAATAATAAGTCTCTGTGTCATGATTTGGGAGCTGGTTGGTGGGCCAAAAGAAACAGCCTGGTGGAAGGCGGTTGTAGTCAATGGAGGTATCTTCAGATATACCTCAGTGATTAATCTGAGGTCATTGTTCAATGCTGGTTTTTTA